AGCTCCTACCATAGTCTATGATCATGTCATTCAATTTTTGTGTCTTAACACAATTCCTTACACTCAGAATGCATTTAAATTTTTTTAAATTAAAATGAAGCTGGGAAGATGGTAGAGTAGGTCAGAAAATTCCAGGCTCTCCAAATTTTTCCTCAACAAAGAAGACAGAACATAGTCTCAAAGTAAATGTATTGTGGGAAAACTAAACCAAAGTCAGGGTAAAGTAGTTTTCTTCCTAAGATAACTTGAGAAGACCTTAGGAAAGGCCACATACACAGGCAAGGCATCTCAAACTGCTGATACAGAGGTGGCAGTGGTATCCCTGTTCAGACTCTTTTTGGCTCATCATGCTTCTCTTTGACTCCTGCAAAGCTTCCGTTGAAGTTTCCAATGTCATTGGACTCTGAGAAGCTTTCTCCATTAAGCTGGAATGATACTTTGTCTCTGCTACATTGTATTCTTCTAGTTATCTCTGTTGAGCTGCCCTCTTCTGGGAAAAGAGCAGATCCACTTTTCCAATTCTACTGTACTTCCTTCTAGGTAACTCAGATGAGCTGCTGCTGCCCCCTCGTGGTTCTTAGCTTCCATGCAATTTCTTCCACCATTGAGGGAAGGGTCCCATTATCACTCCCTGTCCACATGACTATTTTACATTGAGCTGATTGCATTTATTGAATAGCCAAGCTATATTAGTATTGAGAATAAACATTTGTGAAGTATATGGCATACTGAGAACTGTATTCCCTATTCTCAACATGCTTCATTTCTAATCAGCCCAAGAGGGACAGAGCCAACCCTAAGTCTAGAGCCGGAAGGAACCTTTGAGGCCATGGAGTCCAATCTCCTCATTTTACAGATGGAAAAATTGAGTCCCATTGAGGTTAAGAGGCTTAGGATCATAGATTTAGAGCTAAAAAGGGCCAGAGGTCATCCAGTCACTCTTCATTTACAGATGAGGCAAATGAGTTCTAATGGATAAAGAATTATAGATCTGCCATAAAAGACAGGTATCCTTATTGTAATCAACAAAAAAAAAATTACAATTAATATTCTGAGAAGTGTGATACAATATAAAAGGCATGGATTTGAGAGATAGGAGGCCAGAGGTCTACTATGATGATGAATGAATTATTGTGAGTCTCAGTTTCCTTTATCTGCAAAATGGGCACAATAAACTCATCCTATCTACTTCACAGGGCTACGGTGAGCATAACATGAAATAATATACTTAAAAGGAACATAGCAGTAGTTCCCACCTACATGGTGCTTTCAGGCTTATCAAGAACTCCCCCACAACAGCCCTGTGAGGTAGGTGGGTAATTCAAATATTATCAGTCCTTTTTTGCCCATAGTCACACAACTGCTAAGTATCAGAGTGAGATTCAAATCAAGGTCTCTCCTGATTCCAAGCTTAATGTCTTTTCTAGTACTATGATGCTGGAAAATTATAAGGCCACAGGATCATAAAATATAAAACAGAAAAAGACTTTAGACATCACTTAATGCAATGGTCTCCAACCTGTGGGCCACAGACTCTTCAGGACAAAAGTTACAGAGAACTGCAAGAGTCCAGTGAATCCATACATCCTTAAATATATTTCCTGCAGCTAGCATATGTAATGTGTATCATTCATATATGTATCACTATTTTTCAAATGTATGTGGATTCTATTGTGATTTATAGTTTTAGTTAAAAGTATTCCTAAGTTCATAGTAACTTCTTGTCAACATGCATTTTCTCCATCAGCAGATAACTATAGTATGGTTACTATGATAGAGGGACGCATCATTTTTTAGAGGGCGCTTAATACTGGAAAAGGTTGGGAGCCATTGGGAGCAAAATAGGTAGCATTATTATGGCAGATCTGTAACAATGTAAACATATACAGTTTCCAAGGACTATCCAATGTTAACCTTGTTGAAATTTAAATAGACATGAATTCATCATGTGTTACTTCCCTGCTGGAAAAACTTAAGCAGCTCCCCACTTTAGAATTACAGATTTAGAGCTGGCGAGGACCCTAGAAATAATCTTGTCCAACTCCCTGATTTTACAGAAAATGAAGCTCCTGGAGATTAAATTATTTACTCCAGGTCATACAGGTAAGGAGCTGCAAAGCTGGGATTCGCACTCAGGTCTTACTTAGAATTGTTACCACTACTTTATCTAATTCATATTTATCTACAGTAGAAGTCAGTGGGGTATCCCCCAACTCAGGGGGTGGGTGCTCCAGGGGTCAGTACCCAGAAAACTATAGCCCATGAGCCCCCACTAATGTGTTTATCTTTAACCATCAACCAGACAACACAATTAACTTAATGCAAAGATATTTAATGAAATAGAAACAAATTGTAGCCCCGGTGCTGTTTACTCTTTCATAAATATGCACAGTATCAAAAGTTAGGCAGCTAGGTGGCGCAGTGGAATCAGGAAGACTCATCTCTATGAGTTCAAATCAGGCCTCAGACACTTACTAGCTGTGTGACCCTGGGCAAGTCACTTAACCCTGTTTGCCTCAGTTTCCTCATCTGTCAAATGAGCTAGAAAAGAAAATGGCAAACCACTGTTTTATCTTTTCCAAGAAAACCCCAAAATGGAGTCACAAAGAGTCAGACAGGACTAAAAAAACAACACATAAACAGAACATAGATGGTAAGGTACACAAACAAGGATCATGTGTGGCCAGAGACTATATTTGCAGAGGTACACACACATACACACACACACATACACACACACACACACACACACACACACACACACACACAAAATGCCTTAAACTCTGTAGAGCCAATGATTTCTCTTAGTGATGTCATCGCACTGCTCACCCTAACACAGATCTGTTATTGGTTTCATCATTTCCACTCCAGTGGTTTCCATCTAGGATATAAGTTATTTGGGAGCAAGTCAGCCAAGTAGCCCAGTGGATAGAGTGCTGCTCCTGAGCTCAGAAAGACTCATCTTTATGAATTCAAACCTGGCCTCAGCACTTACTAGCTGTGTGACCCTGAGCAAAGTTTTCTGTCTATAAAACGAGCTGGAGAAGGAAATGGCAAACCACTCTAGTATCTTTGTCAAGAAAACCCCAAATGGGGTGGTGGAGAGTCAGACATGACTGAAAATGACTGAACAACAAGAAGTCAAAAAATATTAAGTACTAATTTTGTAACAGATTCTATGCTGAGTGATAGGGATACAAATTCAAGCAAGAAAAAAAAAGACTGGCCCTGCCCTCAAGGAGCTTACATTCTAATTGGAAAAGACAACACTACAGGGAAGTTCAAAAGGGATGTGAGAAGGTACCCACATGGGGGTATGGTGGAGAAGACCAGATAGTCAAGAAGGGAATCTCCAAAATGGAGGCCCCTGAAGGGACTCTTCAATGGCAGAAGAGGTTCCAGGGTAAGAGTTACTTAGAAGTCAAATATCTCATTCGCCTGCCTCTATGGTATTTATATCTGATATTTGGCAGTATTTTATTTGTAAAAAAAGGGCTCACCAATGTTGTTCTGCTTGGAGAACCTCAGGATTGAGAATAAAAGGCTTAGAGGGGGCAGCTAGGTGGTTCAAATCCGGCCTCAGACATATAACACTTCTAGCCGTGTGACCCTGGGCAAGTCACTTAACCCCAACTGCCTAGCCCAAAAAGAAAAAAAAAGATCTACTGAGAATAAAAGGCTTAGAGACCACAGGATGGACCTATGAGAGGTTGGGGGGGAAGGGAGGGGGATGCAGAAAAAGAGAGAGATTCCAGTTTTCCAAGATTTCTGGCTTGGGGCTCAAATGAACCAGATTTTTTATTGAAAGAATATTATTCAACTACTTAAGAGCAAAGATTAATGCTGACTGTTCATTACCCTGGGCAAAGAATTTGCAAAGTGTCTGAGGAGAATATTATTTCTTAAGGTTGCTAAAGAAAGGAAAAAAGGAGTTTGGTTTTTTTTTTTAATGTTTTCACAGAGGCCAAGTGATATGCCCTGGAGATCACATAGGTAGTTACGGACAGAGTTGGGACTTGAATCCAAATAGCCTGACTCGCCATCCAGTCTTCCCATTTTTATATCCACTTAGAAAAAATGAGTTAAGGAGGTTAAGAGTCAATATCTGAAATTGGCCCCTGGTTTCATATCCAGCAATCTCAGAGATTCCCTTGGAAACCCTAGAAAGAGCACAGCCTGGAATCAGGAAGACTTGAGTTCAAATCCAGCCGGAGAAACTAACTAGCTGTGGGACCCTGGGCAAGTTATTTAGCCCCTTAGAGCCTCAGTTTTCTCATCTGTAAAATGGGAATAATCACAGACTCTCTTTCCTATTTGCCAGAATTGTTTTGAAGGACAAACGAGATAATATTTGTAAAGTTCTTAGCATAGCACCTGGAACATAGTAGGTGCTATATAAATGTTAGCTGTTGTTGTTTCATTATTATTACAAACCCTAAATGCTCACTAGGGGTTCTTAAATTTGGGGGGGTCCATGAACTTGGCCTTTTACTATTCTGATGCTTGTATGTTAATATAATTTCTTACCTTTGCAATCCTATGGAATTTATTTCAATACTCCAAAAGCATTACTCCATAGGCTTCACCAGACTTCGCGGAGTCCAAAGGGGACACAGAAAAGGTTAGGAACTCCAGCCTCAGAAGGAGCACGTTGTAGGGGAAAGAGGTGAATTTAGGGTCCCTGGGTTTGAATCTCGACTGTACCCCTTTGCTACCTTAGGCAAGTGGCTAATCGTCTGGGTTTCTGTTTCCCCAACTGTAAAATTAAGAGGGTTGTTTTATTTGACCTCGAAGGTCTTTTCCAGACAGACAGTTACAACATAGGAAATGAAACATTGTGTCCCAAAGCAAGGTGAGGTTAATTACCACCACTGCAGTTCTAGACATTCCCGCCAGGTGTCACTGTAGGCAAGGATTAATTAGCATCAGTTCTGCTGCGGCAGCAGCAGCAGGAGCCCCGTCACTAAAGCTAACCCCGGAAGCAGATCTCGCTTTTCTCCGCCCACTTTAAAAAAAATGTTGCGGGTCTGATCCGCCGCTGCGTGGCCCAGGGCTCGGGGGCGCAACCTAGGGGGCTTAAAGGGGTGTGCGCTGGGGAGCAGAGGGAGGGTGCAGAGGGCCAAGGGCTCCAAGGGCGCCCTGGCCCCGGCCGGTCCTGCGACGCGAGGCTCGAGGAGGGTGGTTTAACTGCCGGGAGAGGAAGATTTGCAAGACAGAGGCTACAGAAGCGATTTGTAGGAGCGGGGGGCGTTGTCTGGGACCTCCCCGCGTTTCAGCTGCAGCTCCCGGGGGAAGACGAGAGGGTTGGAAGATGGGGAGAGAGGAGCAGCAGTGCCAGGGAAGCCCGTGAAAAGAGCCTCCCTGTCTGTCGGAGGAAGCCTCCCCTCCCTAACCAAGGTAAACATCCGCAACTCACATTGCCTGTGCTCCCTCTCCCCGGCAACCCTGGACGCTTGGGGTTGTGCTGGTAGCAGCAATGCCCCCACATCGCAGAGGAGAAAACTGAGGCTCGCAGAGTTTCAGAGACTGGCCCAGGGCCACCAGAGGTAGGAAGTGTCTGACTCTCAGGAGTTGGACTCCTGAGTCTGGTTAACTCAATGCGATACCGGGTACCCGGTTCGGAAATAGTATGAGCAGAAATAGCAGAGTCCGTTCTATTCAGCACGCATGTATTAAGCGCCTGCTGTGTGCCAGGCACTATTCTGTATGTTGTGATTACGAAGACGAAAGCTTAACTTGACCCTGCCACTTGGGGTGTTTACATTCCACTAGAGAACTGCTTGTGGACAGATAAGTAAATGCGGGAGAAAAAGAAGGGGGGGAGGGAGAGAGAGAAAATAAACTTTATAAACCAAATCAGGAAGGGATTTGACGACTTGGAGGAAGGAGGGGGTGCATTTTAGGAAAAAGGTGACCAATTAGTCCTTAATCAATTGCTTTCCCTTTCTTGCAGAGACTTCCTCCTGGGATACCGGTCCCAGCCCGCCTCGCTCCTCCTGGGTCCCACGGAGCTGGGAGTGAGTTCCCGGGGAGCCCGGTGGGTCTCCTCTGGACTCTGCCTTTCTCAGCCTGACCCAAGCGCATCTTCTTCAATGATCCAAAAGTCCCGGGCCCCGCTACTCAAAACTCAAGATGTTGGAGACAGAGTGGAAACTCTTATGGTAATAATGGGGGTGGGGAGGGGGCTGGGGGCTCAGAAGTGAATGAGTGAGCTGCCTCGGGAGCCCCTGGGGAGAGAAGAGCGTTTCTCTGCTAAGTGTCGTCCAGGCCTGGTTGACATTGCTTCCGTGTGGGTGGAGCAGGGCGGGGCTGGTACCCCAAGCTGCAGGAGTAGATTCCCATCTGTCCAGCTTGAAGCCTTGGGCTTGTTTGTTGCTGCGTTGGGAGAGAGACTGGGGTCATTTGCAAGACTGGTGCAATGGTGGGCGAATGCTTGTAAGCTCTCTCCCCCAACCCTGGTCCAGTTCTCTGACCTGGCCCTGCGTGCGTAAAATGAAAGCTTTTTTTCTCTCCTTGCTAATGCTGGTCAGAGGGGATAGGCTGGGCTCAAGCACTTGCTGCCGAGGTCTGTGGAGTATGACAAGGCTTTTTGCATTTGGACTTGCTGCCTGGCATAGAGTGGGGGAGGGAGGGAACAGAGAGCCTGGAACATTATAGAACTTGCTTCGAAACAGAACTAGTAATTATTATTTCTAAAAGGAGAGAGGAAGGAATAAGCATTTATAGAGTGCCTTCAATGTATCCGGCACTGTGCTAAGTGGTTTTTTTGTTTGTGTTACAAATATCTCATTTGAGCTCTCTACAGCCTTGGGAGGTAGGTGTTACTATGGTCCCTATTTTACAGTTGAAGAAACTGAGGCAAACAGAGGTGAAAGTGAACTGTAAGTGTCTGAAGCCTGAGGTCTTCCTGACTCCATCCTCAGCTCTTTTTCCTTAGCCCCTGTTAAACCATAGAATAAAAAGGTCTTGTGTTTTGTTTTGTCTTAAGCCTCTCTCTGTTAAACCATAGAATAAAAAGGTCTTGTGTTTTGTTTTGTCTTAAGCCTCTCTCTTGTGGAGAGGCAAAAACATAGGATTTGGAATAAAAAAGGTGGAAAGATGGAGGGGAATGAGCCCCAGCTGTAGCAGCATCAGAGAAACCAAGAAAGAGGCTGAAGGGGAATTTCAGACCCTGGGTAGTCTTTTGACACCTGTGTGAGCTGCTTGGCCTGCTTGGTAGGGCACAGAGAGCCCCAGCTTTGAAGTCTGGCCACTGAAATTGGCATTCCAGCTCAGCTGTTTGCTATCTGTGCAGTCGCTGGTGAGACACTGGGAGATGAGAGTTTGGGCTAGGTACTTCCTTCTACAACTATAGGGATCTGCCTGTGTGCACACACCTACAGATGAAAGCATCATAGATTTTTTTTAAAAGAGCTGGGAAGGGCTTTAGAGTTCATCCAGGCCAAGCCCACCACCCTTAATTTTACAGATGAGGAATGTGAGGCGAGATTAATTGACTTGTCCAGTTTCACGCTGGCAGGAAGTGACGGAGGAAGGACTTTAACACAGGTCATCTGACTTTTGGTAGTACGCCTTCTGGTGTGTCTCCATGTCTGTTAGATGGCACAGTGATTCCTGGAGTCAGGAAGACCTGAGTTCAAATCCACCCTCAGATACTTACCATCTGTGTGACCCTGTCAAGTTACTTAACCTCTATTTGCCTCAGTTTTCTTCTTTGTAAAAAGAGAATGATGATGATAACAGTAGCACCCAGGGTGCCCTGCCAGGATTGTTGTAAGAATCAAATGAGATCTTTTTAAAGAGCTCTATAAATGCTGCCTATTATAGTTACTAGCTATGTGACCCTGGGGAAGTCACTTAATCACTGTCTGCCTCAGGTTCCTCTTCTGTAAAATGGGGATAATAGTACCTACCTTGCAGGGTTGTTGTGAAAATCACATGAGTACAGGCATACCTTGTTTTATTGCACTTTACATTGTGGCACTTCAGAGGTATTTCGGAATTTTACAGATTGAAGGTTTGTGGCAGCTTTACACCCAGTAAGTCTGTCAGCACCATTTTTCCAACAGCATATGCACATGTTGTGTCTCTGTGTCACATTTTGGAATATTAAACTTTTTCATTAGTGTTGTATTTGTTATGGTGATGTGTGATCAGTGATCTTTGATGATACAATTGTAATTGCTTTGTGACCCCTCAAGCCTATAAATGTTGGGTGTGTTCTGAATTTTCTGCTGAGGCTTCCCTATTCCCTAAGACTGAACAATCTTGAAATTAGGCCTATTAATAACCCTGCAATGGCCTCTAAGTGTTCAAGTGAAAGGAAGAGTCAGTCTGTGGGACAAACTTCCTTGTCTTAGTTGAAGAAACTGCCACAGCCACCATGGCCTCCAGCAGCCACCCCCCTGATCAGTGAGCAGCCTTCAACACTGAGGCCAGGCCCTCCACCAGCGAAAAGATGACAACTCATTGAAGGTTCAGGTGATGGTTTGCATGGTTTTAGCGACAAAGTATTTTGTGATAAAGTTACGTACATTGTTTTTTTATACACAGTACTTTTTTGTACTTAACAGACTATAATATAGTGTAAACATAACTTTTATATACACCAAACAATTTGTGTGACTCGATTTATTGCCACATTCCCTTTGTTTCCGTGGTCTGGAACCGAATCTGCAATCTCTCCAAGGTATGCCTGTATTTTTATATAAATATATAAATCTATGTGATCCTGGGCAAGTCTTTCCTCATCTGTAAAATGGGGTTGACAATAGCACCTGTCTCCCAGGATTGTTGTGAGAATCAAATGAGATTTTTAAAGAGTTCTGTAAATCTTTGTGACCTTGGGCACGTCCTCTAACCTCGTTTGCCTCAGTTTTACAACGGGGATAATAGCACCCATCTGGCAGGGTGGTTGTGAGTTTGTGAAGTACTTAGCACACAGTAGCTGTCAAGAACATGTCAGTAGCTTTAATGATGTCAGACATGAACATGGACTCCTGCTTTCAGAGTCATTGCCCAGTCTTTCCAGTAGGCCATGCTGGCCTTACACGTGGGAGGGCTAGAGCCCAGGCGTCTCTGCTCGACCGCAATGCTGGCCCCCCCCTTACCCCTACCCCACTGGCCTGGCCTCTCGCACTCCCCCCCATCTCCGTGCTCTTCTTCTGGCCCCTCCTGCTGGGGCAGGGTCACACCCCTTTGCTCGTGCCTGCCTTCTGATTGGCTGAACTTCTCCGGCCTTCTTGGGATTGGCGGAGACGGAGTCTGCGCAGAGCCTGTGGCTTCCTCAAGGCTGAGGATGGTTTTCTTCGAGTTCTTGGTGGGGGTGGGTCTGTGAGCGCCTGGGACCTGGGCCGGCTGCCCCTCCCCTCAGAGGAGCGGGGGGGGGGGGGGGGGGAGAGTGTGGAGGAAAGAACCCCACCCACCCTCCAGGGTCCTGCTGCCCAGCAAGGAGGGGCCTGGAGGGCCCCCAGCCATGGGCCCTTGAGCCCATTGGGTGGAGGAGGAGACTGAGGCCTCCTGGATCCCGCTGTCCTTTGTTAAACACCTGCTGTGTGCTGGGTCCTCGATGGGGAGGGGGTTGGGGGTGGGGAGGCGTCAGGTCCTCGGCCGGGGTGGGGGGGTGGGGGCGCGTGGAGGAGAGGCTGTATTGACCAAGGGCTTTGCTGTAGCGCTTTACTGCTGTTACTAACACCTTGGCCGCTAGGTGGCGCCATGGTGCATGGAGCTGGTCTTGAAGTCAGGAAGATCTCCCATCTGAGTTCAAATCCAGCCTCAAACACTTACTGGCTGTGTGACCCTAGGCAAGTCACCGTTTGCGTCAGTTTCTTCATCTGCCAAATGAGCTGGAGATGGAAATGGCAGATGCTCCAGTATGTTTGCCAAGAGAACCACAAATGGGATCGTGAAGAATCAGGCACTGCAGAAACATCATGTGCTGGGCACTGGGCTAAGTAGTTTTTCAGATAGTATCTCACTGGAGTCTCACAACCACCTTGGGAGGTAGTGATTATTATTACTTCCATTGTACAGATGGGAAACTGAGGCAGACTGGGGTTAAGTGGCTTGACAGCTAGTGTCTGAGGCCACATTTAAACTGGTTTTTCCCAACAACTGGACTAGCTACCACCTAAGCTACCTGTGGTCCCTTTCTCAGAATCATGTTTTTAAATAACTGAAGGAAAGAAAGCATGTTTCAGTTGGAGTTTATTGGGGAAGAAAGATGACATTTTCATTTTCCATCCAAGTTTACACATCCCCTGAAATATATGCCTGGACCCCAGGTTAAGAACCTCTAGTATGGTGCCTTGCACACTGTAGGTGATTAACAAATGGTAACCAACCTTGGGGGAGGGGGGTGTTGGGAAGTGACTTAATGGATAGAACCAGAGACCTAAAGTCAGGAAGATCTGGATTCAAATGTGGCTTCAGGCATTTGCTAGCGGTATGATCCTGGGCAAATCAGTCACTTAACTTGTACCTCAGTTTCCACATACTTTCACTACTGTTATGAGGATAAAATGGGATAATATTTGTAAACTCTGCAAAACTTTAAAGCAATGTAGAAATATGTGGGGGGGGGGTCTTCACAGAGGAGGTGGGCCTAGAGCTGAGCCTTAAAAAAGAGCCAAGGAGGCAGCTAAGTGGCACAGTGGATAGAGCACCGGCCCTGAAGTCAGGAGGACCTGAGTTCAAATGTGACCTCAGACCAAACACTTAACACTTACTGGCTGTGTGACCCTGGGCAAGTCACTTAACCCCAATTGCCTAAAATAAAATTTAAAATTTTTTTTAAAAAAGAGCCAAAAAGGGAGAGGAGTGGGGCTGCTCTGGATTCTCAGTTTGTTGTTGTTTAGTTGTTTTCTGTTGTATCTGACTCTTAGTGACCTCTTTTGGGGTTTTCTTGGCAAAGAAAGTGGTTTGTCCTTTCCTTCTCTAGCTCATTTGACAGATGAGGAAATTGAGGCAGACAGGGTTAAGTGACTTGCCCAGGGCCACACAACTAGTGTCTGAGGGTGGATTTGAGCTTGGATCTTCCTGACTCCAGGTGTGGCACTCCATCCACTTCATCACCAATTCTCATCCCCTCACTTTATAGAGAAAGAAATTTAGCCTGAGTCCCTCAGAGGCTAAGTGACTCGTTGCAGGTTCCACACGTAGCAGATCCAGGTCCTCTGACTTCAAAGGCAGGGTTCCTATCGCTGAACCAGAATGGCTTTTTATAAATTCATCTGTATAGTAATCTCAAAAGATTATTACCTGATTTGACCATTTTATTCAGGCTTCATTCTGGAGGCTTTTTGGTTCTTTTAAAAAAGTATATCCAATCCACATCCTTACAAAGCCAAAGGTCTGCTGTTGAGTAAACAGAAAAAAGTGGGCCTGAGATTGTAAAGGCCATTCTAAAGAAATTACCAGAACTTTTGACCAGTGGCAGTCTTGGTTGTATCATAGATAACTCTAATGTGTGGTCTCCCAAGTATATTGTTTAAGAGGGGACAGCTTTCGTTTGGAGTCCTAATATGGTTTTTAAATGTATTTTTTAGTCTCACCTCATATCAAAAACTTAATACTCATTAATTTTGTTGTTGTTGTTCAGTCATGTCTGATTCTTTATGACCCATTTGGAGTTTTCTTGGCAGAGACACTAGAGATACTGGAGTGGTTAAGTGACTCCCCCAGGGTCACACAGCTAATAAGTGTCTTGAGGCCAGATTTGAACTTAGGAAGGTGAGTCTTCCTGACTCCAGGTCCAACACTCTGTCTGCTTCTCCACCTAGCTCCCCCAGCTCCTTAATTTACCAAGCACGTCTCGTGTCTTCTGCCTTCTAGGGATCTGCTTGAAGGTGTTGAGACAACACCCAAGGACCTGTTGGAGTGACTAGGTCACTCCCCTTAAAGTGGTGGTTTCCAAGAATCTGATGCCGCATTTGCCTGTAAGTCAGGCCTTCTTAAACTTTTTCCACTTCTTAAACCCACAGTTTAAGAAGGATCTAAACAAATGGATCATTCACATAGGAATTGTGTAGACCTATGTAACCATGGGCCATTCAGTCCTATTGAGCATCTTTCAGTTACTTCATTTAGAGATAGAAGTAGTGATGCCTATGGTACCTACAGGGCTATCATGAGATTCATATGTCTTTATGGAAAGCACTTTACCAACAATAAAGAGCTATCCAAATGTTAAGAAAAGCAGGGCATAGCTTGGTGTCTGGACCTGGAACTAGGAAGGATAGAGTTCAAATCCTGTCTCTAGTTGTGTGACCCTGGGCAAGTCACTAACCCTCTGCTTTAATGGGAATAAAAGAGTGGCTACCTCCCAGGGTTGTTGTGAAGCTAAACGTGGAGCACTTTGCCTACCTTAAAGCCAGTATATAAAGACTAGCTGGCTTTCAAGATAGAAAGGCCTGTGTTCAAATCCTCACTTTGATTATTATTAGTTGTGTGATGATGGGCAAGTCACTTAATTTTTCTGAACCTATGAAGTTACGTGCAGTTTACAGTCTGCCCCAGTGATATCACAGGTCCTTGACTGCTGAAGCTAGGTTCCTTTCTACAGGGGTTCAAAACGTGGCTTTTATTTGCCATCTTGTGAGCATGACTGCAAAGGTCTCATCCACTAGTTATCACTGGCTGGCTCAAGCTAAATTATGTGTAACCTGATTTGTCCCTGCATGAGGCTTCCTAACCCATAGTGTCAGAGCCAATAGCTGACAGAAACAATAAGATATGTTTTGTTGCCCCCTTTATCAGACTGGATCAAAAAGTATCCTTTCAAGGAGGGTTGACTTGGTGATGTCTGTAGCTTCTGGCGCTGTTGGAAGTAGTAAATTCATAGAGACTTTTGGTCTATAGGGGATGACTGATCAATTTAGAAATTGTGATGGGAGGAAAAGGCATTTTGTTTTTGTTTTGTTTTTTATTAGTAAATTGAGAAATAAAGAAGAAAGGATGTATTATTTAAACTAAGATGTTAGATTTTTAGATTTTAAAATGATGGTTTCAAAAAGTGATTGTAGGTGCCAGCTACAGTGGATAGAGCTTTGTCCTTGGAGTCAGGGGGACCTGAGTTCAAATCCAGCCTCAGACACTTGACACTTAGTAGCTGGGTGACCCTGGGCAAGTCACATAACCCCAATCGCCTCACCAAAAAAAAAAAAGCATGAAACAAGTGATTGTGGAGCATAGTATAAGAATGAGATCTTGGGCTTTGGGGGAGGATCTTAAGGATTTATTTTTATTTATTTATTTATTTTGGTGATAGAAAATAGTAAACTGGTAATCAGGTAAGTAGAGTTTTGATCTTTCATTTCTGTTTAAGTTCTTGAAATGACATCGATAATAATATTTTGAAAGGAAGATTCAATAGTATTAGTTTTTGAGGAAAGAAGGGGTTGAGTTCCTATGAATTCATCTGATGATTTTTTGTTCTTCATTTGCATTATGATGTTCAATTGTCTTTCAGTTGCATCCTGCCATAAAGGCCTTTCTGTGTGGTTCCATCAGTGGGACCTGTTCTGCTCTTCTTTTTCAACCTTTGGATCTGCTTAAAACCCGACTGCAGACTCTCCAACCAGCACACCATGGGTAGGTGCTCCCTACTAATTGCCATCACTGCTAATTATAGACAGATCTTACTTGATGTAAATTTGTATTAAATAAATTCAACTCTGTGGAAGGAATTCTGAAAGAAATCTGCATTCCCGAAAAAACAACTGTGTTAACTTGATCTTACAGTACTGTGCTGGCTCTCTGCTCCTACTCCTCCACCCTATTCCCAGCAGCCTTCCAAAAAACCAAAAAACCTAAAAGAAAACCCCCTCCAAATGAGAAGAGAAGAAGGAACACATGCACAGATTGCCACCACAGTGCTGGAGTAAGGCTTTACCCTGCTCCGTGCACCCTCCTGCAGGTCTGTCTTCTCTCCATCCGTGACCCTCTGCATATTGCCTGCCTTCGCCTACATCTCTAACCTCTCCCGCCACCCCCAGGCGCACATCTTCTTCCTTCTGCTGTCACTTCTCCATTCCTAGCCCCATCATGTCCTTTCAACTGTGTACCAGCCCCACCTCTTCCAAGGGCAGCCAGTCCCTTTGCTGCCCACCTTCCTCTGTCCCTGTAACAAATCCTCAAGTCTCCTTACCCTATATATCTAAGGTTTTAGGGAGGAAAGGTACTGTCTCTGGGTTAACTTCTCTCTGTCTTGTCTTAACTGGGGTCCCCCTCCATCCTAGGCCTGATTTTACTCAAAGCAGTACCTTTTCTGGGGCTCTCTTTGTTGACCAGGAAGTAAGATGGGCTTTGATACCCTTGAGCCACTGTTTCAATGTAGCTATTTCTTTTGGAGTTTCTATTTATAATTCTTTTATATCAAGATGATTTTTTTTGCTCAGTCATTAGCTCTCTTTAGGAACATTTTAATTTCTGTGAGGGGGGCAGTTAGGTGGCTCAGTGGGTAGAGCACTGGCCCTGGATTCAGGCAGACCTGAGTTCAAATGTGGCCTCATACACATGACACTTACTATCTGTGTGACCTGGGCAAGTCACTTAACCCCCATTTCCCAACAAAAACAAAAACTTCTTTGAAACTTGTTGCTTTGCTTTATTTTCCAGTTTTTTTACCAGCTGAGATATCTCACATTCAAATAGTTTTTTTTTTAAATCTGGCACAAAGCACTTAATAAATGTTTTGGGGTTGATTGAACACTAAAGCTTGTCAGCAAAATTCTGTAATCTTGCTTCATGTCTTAGCATATTAGTGCTGCCTACCCCCATTTGGACATTGACTTCCTTTACCCTAACCCTAAGTCCATCTAATCCACGTTTATAACAGAAAATAGCTGCCTCTGTCTCATCATATCTTGATGCTGGTGTTCTTGTTTCACGTTGTCATGATCTGATTGATGATGGGGCCATGCTTCCTGTTTCAGAGTCCAGCCCAGACTCAGCCCCTTGCCCCCTCTTCTTTTCCCAATGCTGGTTCCTTGGAGTTCAGCCTCTCACACCAGCTCTGCATTCCTTTATGTGGGGCATTCATCGAGTTAGATTGCTGTACCTTCGGATGACATTTCATATTTTTGCCAAAGAATTCATTGTCAAGAGACTTTCATATAATTAGTGACACTAAGTCAGGTGGGAAGTGGTTGTCAGTGAATAAGTCCTTAAGGAGTACCTAATGCTGGTCCTAACCCTTAAGCAGTTTGCTGTATAGTTAAGTAGACAAAACCTCTGCACTGAGATAGTAGAGAGCAGCACAAGACAGTGTGTGACTCCATACATGCATATGTTTCCATATAGTTGTGTAAACATGTATACTAAGGGTCGAATTATATGAAACTGCAAATGTCACGGGTTATGTAAACATAATTGTTTTATACCATGGTGTCTCAGAAAAGCATATTTTTTTGTTTTCTTTGTTTTTGTGGAGATGCTGTCTAAATGGTGACTCTTATTTTCTGTCTTTTTGTCTGTTCTTTCAGGTCTAAACGCATTGGAATGGTATCTTTGTTATACAAGGTGGTTCGCACAGAGAGTCTGCTGGGACTTTGGAAAGGAATGTCTCCAGTAAGATTCCGCTTGTCTTGGATCTTGAGCACCAGTTTTTGATGATTAGACATTTCCACTGAACTATTTGAATATACATGTGAACTAGAGGTCGGGGGTGGGGCGAGAGCGCAGTTAGGGTTTTCTTCTTGCGCTTTCCCATTTTCTCACTACCTTCTCTGCTGAATGGATGACTGAAAAACTGACCCTTCACTTAGTTAATAAATGTTGGTGCTGCGGGGTTGGAGCAGGCCAAGGGCCATGGTATCCTGGGTATTGGGAAGTGTCTGAGAGTATTTGTACTCTGCTAATTCAAATGGGCACCTTTCTGGAACTTCAGGGCACATGGAGGTCTTTGACCTGTCCAGGGATCCCCTGATCGTCCTGCCTTCAAGGCCAGTTCTCTCCACTCTGCCTCTCCAAAAGGTGCTTTGGGTGTGTTAAAATTCACATAAATACGCATAATATCTATTGGTGCTGTAGGCCGGGGCTGAGGCTGAGGCAGGGTCCAACCTAGCTCTTGTTTTGCTCTCACTCACTTCTGTACAGTCCATTGCAAGATGTGTCCCTGGAGTTGGGATCTACTTTGGGACTCTCTACTACATGAAGCAGTACTTTCTCGTGGGGCAGCCCCCTACAGCCCTTCAGTCTGTCATGCTGGGTATTGGCTCCCGAGCTGTTGCAGGGGTCTGCTTGTTACCCATCACTGTGGTCAAGGCGAGGTATGAGGTGAGTCTTGGGCTTTGGAGCTGAATACTGCAAGTGACTGTCGCTGTGGCATTAGGATTATTGAGGAAAGGCCCTGGGAACATGCACTAGGCAAGGCAAACCCTCTCTGAACCTCAGGCAGGTTTGTAACTTTACACAGGATGATACGATTGGGATGCCATGAAAAGAGGGCTGAATTTGGAAACCAAGGATCTGGGTTAGAATCCAGGCTTTGCTACTTACGGCCCAGGTGACCTTGGGCAAGTCACTGTCCCTCAGTGGGCCTCCATTTCCTTATTTGTAAAATGAGGGGGTTGACTAGATGACCCTTACAGTCCTTTCCAGCTCTAAATCTGTGACCTGTCCATCATCAGGCATTTATTAGTCAATGTCTACTGTGTGCTGGGTATTGTGGACACAGACAAAAACGAAATTGTCCCTGCCCTCGTGGACCTTTTTGGGGAGATAACAGGCAAGTCTATGAGTATATTCAAAATAAATATAAGGGGATTTTGGTGGGAGAAGGGGCTGGGGGCACAGTCTGTGATGATCACACTTAATGCAGAACGCAGAGTGGGCCATGTGTGACTCCAGACCCTGGGGTGTGCGTCACCCAGCATCCTTTCAGTTCAAAGTACAGGATTTCCTGTGGTAGTCATTAGTCTTCCCTGTACTTTGTAGAGTGGGCAGTACGGCTATGAGAGCATCCACGGCGCCCTGAAGAACATCTATCAGACAGAAGGGCACAGGGGCTTGTTCAGGGGATTGACGGCCACGCTGCTCCGAGACGCGCCCTTTTCTGGCATCTACCTGATGTTTTACAACCAGACCAAAAAGGTTGTGATGAAAGGTAAGGCTGCAGGCGATTTCAGTACCCTACTGGATCTTGGCCACTTTTGTTTAGCATTGCTTCAGGTGCTCCATTCTCACTATCACCTAGAGAGCCCCTTGGGTGGTGAGGGGAAGCTGTGGGGCCTGGGTTGGCCTTTTTTTTTATGTTCCTCTGAAGTTTGGTTCATGCAGCTGGGGATGTTTAGTCTGGAAAAGGTGTATGACAGATGACTTTAAAAGTGACTGAGAACTGACGTTTGGTAGAGGGGCTAGTCTGGTTCCCCTTGTCCCCACGGGCAGGCCTGGGGGGTGGGTGGGTGCCCCAGAGGACCAGAGTTAGGTTAACCTCATTGTATGGGAAAGCATCCAAATAATCAGAGCCAGAACTGAGTGGAATGAGCCACTTAAGGAGAGAGTTACCCTTGCAGTCTTTAAGCAGAGATTTAATGACCACTTACCAGGTGCTTCACCCAGGGTCATCCTCTTCTAGGTCCAGCTTGGACTGTCTGTCTTTTCTGGGCACTTCCAGCTATGAGAATAGTATGGTGCTGGCAGCATGGGGGAGGAGAGAGAAGGGGGGAACTTTGATCTAGCTTGGCCTCAGACCCAAGATGGGGAAAAGCCTATTGGGAAAGCTGCAAGGAGTCTGTCTGGCTGTTGTGTATTTAAAGCACCAATGATTATAGAAAAATGACTTTAAATTGAAACACCATTGAGGGGACCCCCTCACCAGGGACAGGTCAGATTTGAATGTTAGCCTCTATCAAGCTGAATTTGAAGATAAAAGTTGTGTATATGTGATAGACCTACTTGTGTGGTTGAGTTTCAGGGCCAATTTCATAAGCATTTGTTAATCATGCAACTCAGCAGATATAAAGACAGGGAAAAAGAATTCCTCCCCTCAGGGAGCTTACATTCTACTAAGGAAGTACAGCATTTATGTAGAAAAGTAAATATCCGTGGCAAAGCCAAGATGGTGGAGAGAAGCTGGGAAGTTGCTTGAGCTCTCCCCAGTTTCCCTTATAAACAACATTCAGTCAAACTTCCAACAGATTGTGGAGAGACAGAACCCACAAAAAGATGGAGTAAAACAATTTTCCAACTTGAAATAACTTAGAAGGATTTCAGGAATGGTCTGTCTCACTTGGGTAAAGGGGGAACCCAGCCAGGCATAGCCAGTGTCTGGGAGCCACAGCACAGATCAGCAGCTAAGGCCTCTTGTTCCTGGGTCAGTAGGCCAGTGGCATAGCAGGCCAGCTGTGAGGCCTCCACCCAGCACAGAAGGCAAATTGCCAGCTCCAGAACCCAGGCAACAATCCAGTGTGGCAAGCAAACCACATGCACCTGAGGCCCTAGTGTATAAAGCCAGTGACCAGGTCCCTGTCCCCCAGCACAAGATGCTTTGGGACAGTGCCCCCTGTGCTTTGGCAGGAAAGCCCAACAGTAAAAGCCAGGAAATAGGCCAAAAAAATGAGCAAGAAACAAAACAGCCCTGACCATAGAAAGCTACTGTGGTGATAGGAAGATCAAAACACAAACTCAGAAGAGGACAGCATTGTCAGAATGCCTACACGCCAACCTGCAAAGGGGAAGATGAGCTGGTCTCAAGCCCAAAGAACTTTCTTGGAAGAGCTCAGAAAGGATTTTAAGAGTCTAGTAAGAGAGGTAGAAAAATTGGGTAAAGAAATGAAAGATATACAAGAGAGAATCAGCAACTTGGAAAAGGAAAGACAAAAATTGACTGAAGAAAACAGTTCTTTAAAAAGTAGAATTGGCCAAATGGGAAAGGAGGTACAAAAGATAGCTGAAGAAAAGAATTCATTAAAAATTAGAGTTGGGCAAGTGGAAGCTGATGATTTTATGATATCAAGAATCAGTCAAACAAAATCAAAATAAAAGAAAATGTAAAATATCTTATGGGAAAAGCAGCTGACCTGGAAAATAGGTCCAGGAGAGATAGTTTAAGAATTATTGGATTACCTGAAAGCCATGCCTTAAAAAGAAGAGCGCATGGACAGCATCTTTCAAGATATTATCTAGGAATATTGCCCTGATGTTCCAGATCCAGAGGATAAAATAGTCATTGAATCAACTGATCACCTCCTGAAACATCCCAAAATGGAAACTCTAAAGGCTGTTGTAGTCAAATTCCAGAATTATCAGGTGAAGGAGAAAATACTACAAGAAGCAGAAAGAAACAATTCAATGTCAAGGAGTCACAGTCAGGATTACATGGTATTTAGCTTCCACGTTAAAGGATTGGAGATCCTGGAATATGATATTCGGGAAGTCAGAGGGGTTAGCATTACAACCAAGAATCAACTACCCAGCAAAATTAAACACAATCTTTCAGGAGAAAAGATGGACATTCAGTGAAATTAGGGGACTTTCAAACTTTCCTGATGAAAGGACCAGAGCTGAAGAGAAAATTCAGTCTTCAAATACAAGACTCAAGAGAAGCATAAAAAGTAACAGGAAAGAAAAAAAAATCATGTTATTCAATAAGGTTAAATTGTTTACATCCCTACAGGGTAAGATGATACTTGTAACTCTTGAGAACTGTATCTTTATTAAGACAGGTAGAAGTGGTATATACATAGACAGAGCGTGTGGATATAAGATGACTTTGATGTGATGATATAAAAGAAAAAAGGGGTAAAGAAAAGTAAATATTAGATAATTTGAAAAGAGAGCCAAGTACTTTCAGCTAGGGCATTATTGGAGATAGTATGACTTATGTTTGGGCTGCAGGTATGTACTTCCCTGGAGGGTGGTGGGTAAGGTCAGACATTGAGGAATCATAGAATTTCAGAGTTGGAAGGAACCTCTTCTGCCATGTGGTTGAACTTGTACCTTAAAAAGAATTCTGCCTACAGCACGATCATTACTTGGTCATCTAGAGTTTGCTGGAAGATCTCCCTGAGCCAGCCCATTCAGATATCTCTAATTGTTGGGATAGTTTACCTTCTGTGAAGTCTCAAATTCCCTTTTTGCAATTTCACCCTTTGCTCCTAATTCTGCCCCCAAGGGCCAACCCTAAACATAGGAATCCCCTGACCCCATGACAGCTTTTCAGATGTGCCTTCTCCGTGCCCGTTTGTCTCCCCAACCATTCCTCATCCCAATATCCCAAGGCCTCAACTTGACACTCTTCACCATCCTCATTGCTGTCCTGGACACTCCAGTTTATTAATTTCCTTTCTGGAACATGTCTCCCAGAACTGACCGTAATACTCCAGAGCAACCTGACCACGAGAAGTTCAATTGGAATCTCAGATTATCCCTGGCAGCTCTGTCTCTCTTAGTGCCTTGTGTTAGCTTCCTTGACTGTTGAACACATTGCTAGCTCAAAGGAGTTTGTTCAAGTTCTGTTATTTCCAGTCATGTCTGACTCTTTTGTCACCCCATTTGGGGTTTTCTTGGCAGAGATACTGGAGTGGTTTGCCATTTCCTTCTCCAGCTCATTTTACAGATGAGGAAACTGAGGCAAACAGGGTGAACAAAGTTAATGCGTAAGGTTGAATTTGAACTCATTAAGAGGAGTCTTCTGACTCCAGGCCAGGCACTCTATCCACTGAGTCATCTAAAAAGTTTGTGATGTCCACTAAAACCTCCAGAGATTTTTCACATGAAGCTCCCTCTTTAGGGTGTCCCAAAAGTCTTAGTGAAGTTTGAGCATTGGTGGGATTCAAACTAACGTCCTCTGGATTTGAATCCGTCATTTTATGCAGCATGCCATGTTGCCTTTCTGCCTCTTCATTCTACAAGATGAGTAAACTGAGACTCAGCTGACATTAGGAAAGATATCTTTGTCTCAGGGGACCTCCCTATTCCTCTATGTCAGAGTGAATCTAAAATCTGAGAATGGTTTTTAAGAGCCTTTCTGTATAATGTATTCTTTGAGCCAGGGTTAGCAGTGTCTAGAAAAAATTATAGTTTTATTATCTCTAGTGAATTCCCACCTAGTAACTTTTTTGGTCAACTTGAGGAAAGTTGAGGTTTGTCATGTCATCCCCATTGTTCAAAAATCCTTCATTTGTTTCACTTTGACTCTGAGGCAAAAATTCAGATTCTTCATTCTAGCAAACACATCCTCAGGTTCACCTCAGGGGTTTCTCTTCCTCCTTGACATTTTCTCTGGCCCAGTTCTCTTTCTCCATCCTCCTCATTGCCAGGTGCCACCCTTCACCTCTCTCCTTTGTGTCATGTTTATGTGTGTATGTGTTCCATCCTTCTAGTAGAATACAAGGTCTTGAGGTCAGGGACTTTTTGTGTTTTTGTCTGTACTCTTGGTGCTTGGCACAGTGGCCAGAACATGGTAGGCACTTATTAGTTGTTCTGTGAACTGAACTTTCTGTGTTGCTCATCTAGAACTTCAGATTAGAAAGTAAGTGGAAATGCCTCATGTTCTGCAGCTGTGTAAAAGCAGGAGGTGGGTGAAGCTCACTATGATAGCTTTATGCATTCCAAAGAAACTGTATCAGCATTAAATTTACTTTGAAGGACTGGTGGAGAAATTTGTATGAAAGTTAATGGTAGAGAATATGTCTGTTCTCCACCTTTAGTTCTTACGGGATCAGAGGCTTCAGAGAACTTCCGGTCAAATCCCTCAATTTACAAATGAGGAAACTGAGGCCAGGGAAGTTATGACTTGCCAGAGACCACACTACATATGTCAGAAGTAGAATTTGAACCCAGGTCCTCTGATGCCAGAGCTAATACTACAGCCACTGTACCATGAATATTTGAAAACTGATGGTTCATTAATAGCTAGTCTCAAAATATTGTGAGTGAAAATCAAGACAAAAAAGAAACCACTTTGTGGAGAGATCTTCCAAAGTCCTTGAAGAGTTTTTGGTTTCAGAACCTTAAAGAAGGAAATCAACATGAACATTCAGACATGGTGTATACTAAACTTATTAATGCTGCCTAAACCCACTGGACTTTCAAGTTCTCTCACTGACATAAAGAGATGCACATTTGGCAGGTTCCTTTAGAAACAAACATTGGCTTGATTTTCTAAGGCATTCAGGGAATAGGCAAATTTTATGTGACCAGTAAAATCCACCATCTTGGGAATGGAATATCTAGTTGAGTTTCTAATCAAAAATTCTTCTTTGGCCAATAACGTGGACCAAGCTATAGCTTTGGGCTATAATTAGTTGGGCAGCAAATTGTGACACATGCTATTGTTGGGGGCAGGAGTGACAGCTCCTAAAGAGGAAGTCAGGATTCTATTTTTTTGTTTTTGGCTAGCCAGTGGGGTTACGTGACTTGCCCATGGTCACATAGCTAGTTAAGTGTCAAGTGTCTGAGGCCAGATTTGAACTCAGGTCCTCCTGACTCCAGGGCTGGTGCTCTATCCACTTCACCACATAGCTGTCCCAAAGACAGGATTCTGTGCTAGGATTGTACAGAATATACTTCCTTTCCCTGTGATAGGAGACTGAAGTCAAACAAACAAAACCCCTAGGTGCAATTGACCTAGCTCATACCAGTTGTTGTTTGTCCTTTGCTTTTGGTTCTTGAAGAGGACCATGACATCCAGAAAGTGATTCCATGGCTTGCAAGTGAATTGGATTTAAGTGAGTGAGATTTATGCAAAGTCGCCAACCTCACTTTCTCCTCCAGAGCCATCTGGGTCCAGTGGCAAGATACAGATCAGGATGACTGGAGGTGGCCCCACATGTTGTGGGAGACCTTGACCTTTTTAAGCTAAGGTCTTTAACTGGTCTCAGTTTGACTGAGGCAAAGCCCATTTAGTGATTAAGGGAAGGTAAGAAATGAGCAAAGAATGGCCTCTTTTACCTAGTCGAAAAAAAAAAATCTGGGAGGCTCAGAAGACCCTCAGGATTTTTGGCCAACACCAAAACAGTTGCTATTTACACTCATTAAACCAACCAACAATGACCATGTAAGGCTCTGGCTGGGAGCTATTGTTGGCCAGTCAGTGAGAGCCAGAGTGACTTGGGTCTAAGGCATGGTCCTCAAGAAAGAAATCTAGCTAGTAAGCCTCAAAATATCTTCTGAGGTTTCAGTGTTCAAAATTTACATTCCTTTGGGTTGAGCACCAGCAGGTAAGGATTCCCTATGTGGACAGAGGGAGGGAAGGGAAGAAGAGAAGGAAGGAAGGAAGGTCATACCAGTTAGTGACAAATGGAATAATACATGGGCTGCAAAGTGTTTTTATGAGGATGGTTAATGTTTCTAATCTGCCTCTGGCTTTATTTCATAATCACATGATGTGTGGTTGACTTTGAATCCATAGTTTGGTAGTTCATGTAAAGAAGTGGTAGGAAGAGGAAGATTGGTATTGCCCCTGGGTGGTGGGATCTTTTCCAGTGAATTTTGCTTTTGTCCTATTTCAGATGAATTGGACGCTGCCCTCGTGCCCTTTGTGAACTTCAGTTGTGGGGCTTTTGCTGGCATTCTGGCATCGTTGGTAACTCAACCTGCAGATGTTGTCAAAACACACATGCAGCTGTCACCGGAGAAATTTCGGAGGATTGACCAAACTGTCACAGTCATTTTCAAAGTAAGGCTGAGCTAGCTCATCGGTCATTGCTGGGTGTCTGCATCTGGTCTCTGATCTGGAGGAGAATTGATTTGCTCGTATCAAAATGAGAACAGGAATACTTATACCCCATGCCTTACAGGGTTATGAGAGAAAAGTGCTTTGCAAACTAAAGCTCTCCAAAGGTGGGAAAAGCTATTATTGCTTTTAGAGCTAGGAATACATTCTAGTGAAGAGACATTGCACAGGTCTAGTTTATGGTCAATATCCAGAGTGTTGTTCAGATGTCAAGGTAATGGGTGTCCCAAAAGTTTTAGCACTAACATGTATGGGCCACCCTGTATAGTATAGGCACCCACATTCTCCTACTAAAGGATTATAGACTTAGTCCAAAAAGGGGCCTTAGCAGTTAGACCTTCGATTAGACCTATCTAACCCAACCCCCTTATTTTACAGATGAGGAAACTGAGACTCAGGTTGAGTGATTTGCCCAGCATCACATGGCTGGAAGTATCTGAGAATCCATCGTCTAGGCTCTCATCTGGTATTCTCTCCACTGTGGCATCCTGTCATATTGCTTGTAGAATTTTGCTCTTAACCTGAATTCTTCCTTCTTGCAGGATTATGGGCTAGTTGGCTTCTTCCATGGTGGTGTTCCCCGTGCCCTTAGACGAACTCTGATGGCAGCGATGGCATGGACAGTCTATGAAGGGATGATGGCTAAGATGGGTCTGAAGTCGTGAAGGAATGGAAGGAGAAAGGATGGGATCATCCTGTTTCCACCACCCTGTCCCCACTGAATGATGATGCTGTCTGTCCATTTTGGGCAAAGATGAGGTTTCTAATCCAGAGGTCCAGGCAGAATTGATTCACTTTCTGCAGTCAGTGTATACAAGAAATGGAAGTATTTGACCATTTGAAGCATTCCATGGGGCCCATCTTGCCAGTAAACTGACTTTGGGTTGCGGATGGGTGAAGGTTTTTATATACCATGCAAATCCACCTGTTCAAGGCACGTGGTATCCAGAAAAAATGTCTCTGTAGAATAATTCTACTTGAGCCACCTATATGCATCAGGATGGGCTTTTGTGTAAGTCAGCTGGAGAAGCACCTGTGATTGTATAGTCAGGCCCATGTCCTGAGCTGAGAATTTCTTTGAATTGCAGTGTTAATTTATTGAGGGTCTGATGAGTAGACAAAAGGCCCTTGCCGTGGCCAATTTTGGTTTTTGGCAAACTGTAAGGGAGAAAAGAAACCCTTATTTTCATTGAGTTCTCATACTTGTTCTGAAGGATGGATTGGTTTGGTTTCCTAGCTGTTCCCCATCAAGTCAATTCACTTCTGTTTTGGCTTAGAAAGAGCATGTTATTTCTGCCAGGCTCCAAGCTAGTTCAACAAGCTGCTTTGACGTTTTTCAGCAGCTAAGGTTGGGATTTATGAAATCAAGCACTTTGTCATTCACATTATTGAAAGCTGTTTAGACTACTTAGCTCGTGTTATCCCTTGTCATAGAATGATACAGTTCCATTGGGAAGGCAGCCATCCTTCTCATCTAGTACTTGTAGTGAAAACTGCCTTCTGACTCCCTTTCACACTAGGAAAACTTTTTGTATTCTGTACTGTGAATTTGCCAAAGAAATAGACCCAAAGACCCTTTTCAAGAGGGAAGGTATAAAGACTCAGTATTGTTGGCCTAGAAGCATCTTAGGAAAGGCTCACTGAATGGCCCCTTCTCCACTGCCAGGGAAGGTTCAGAGCTGCTTTTGCAGATTTCCCTAAAGGCTTAACTCAGGGGGTTTCCCAAACTTGGGGCATTAAAGGGGACACGGACAACCAAATTTACTTATTCAGAGGTTATATCACTTATAACTTTCTATTGTTTTTCATGTTAAAATACCTTTCCCTGATGGATAAGTATTGAGGGGGGTGAGGTGTAGAGAAAAATGTCTTTTTCCACCTGAGGACACAGATGAATTATTTTGTCATATCCCCTAATTTCACACAAGCTGCTATACCTGTGTTCCTTTGTGTGCTGTGTCATTAGGAGAGTAGGAGTAGGCCCAGCTCTTCAGGAATCTGAAAGGCAAGGCAGATTTTGGTTTGGGTTTTTGAATAAAAAAGTAATTTGCCCTTATAATGGCATTTCATTTTTGAAATAATTTGGGTGAAGCCAGATTAAGGTGGTTAGGGATAGGATGTACCATGATTCTAATTTTGGCAAATGTGATGCGTCCTTTGAGTCACTGAGAGATTATAGAGTTATTGAATGCACTTTCTTTAGGCCTCCATTAAATGTACCTCTTGTAATCCGGTAGTTACTTACTGTTTTGTGAAGGAATGCTACAATTTGCTTTGAAGCTAATTTGACCTGGCTGATTATGGTGAAGTTCTTCAAGCCCTGTATTTGATATTTTTACATCCTGAGAAAGGAAGAAAGCTGAGATTTTAATTCTAAACCTTGGAAATCTAATTTATATTTCTCCAGTGTGTGTGATTTCAAAACTGGTAAAATGTAACTGACTAAATACAGTCTTAACTCCGTATGTTGTTCATGTTTCTGGCATTACATCAAAATAAAACATAATGGAAATGAGAGAAATTGGAAACTTTTATGGGTTTATAGTCTGTGGGAAAGAGCTAACACTGGGCAGGTGGCTAGGTCTCTCATTCTGTGTTTCTCCTCTTCTCCACAAAACCTTAGTGAGGGGAAATAAAGTTCATTTTATTAGCCAATGACTTGGCTCATGAAATGTATCAGTTTTATAATTGGAAATGATTCATCTCTCCTTTAATGAGACTCAACAGGAGCAGATAATCAGTAAGGTTCAGCATCAGCATTGTTTTTTAGTAAAACATCGGATTTTGAGAATCTTAACCACATTAAAGAAGAAAAAGAAGAAATTGACTTATCAACAGTGAAAATGCCCCCTGTCTGTAGGTGGTACTGTATAGAAAATAGCTAGGATTCAGCATTTTCAGAACTTAGAAACCCTGGCAAGGTGATGGATACACTTGCCTTTCACAAGGCCTCATCCTACTTTGGTGATTATTGACCCCAATTATACCTCTCATCAGAGGCTTTGGAGGAACAGCCAATGAGAACTACTGCCATCAGTATTTTAAAGAGAAGGAGTTAGGCCAGCAGTGAGTGGATTTTTTCCCCTTGCTGTACAAATTAAATATCTTCTTGCAGATAAATGGTGATATTTGTCAACCAGAAAGAATTCTTTTAACTCCTTGTTTGGGTATTACAGACCAAATTGTCAGAAAGTGAGATTTTCATTTCTAAACCTCTTCTTAGACTGGATGAGTTGATTTCCCTTTGTGGAGACATCTTGCACACATAGCTACAGCTTTATACTGGGCCCATCCAAGATCTGAAAACTGAATTATTCTCAAGAATTACGAACACTATTGCATTTTCTCCCTCAATTCCCTCATTGTATTTTAACACTAAAATTTTGAGAGAGGAAGTGGGCTCAGTAGAGAGAACTAAAGACTATTTTTAACATGCTGGTATCTCTAGCAGAAACATTTGATAAAATGGTAGGTAGACATAAGAAAAGAGCTCTAGATATTTTAGACGGGTGAGCTGTAGGCCTCCCCATGTCTCGTGTATTTTGGCTACTTTGGGATCTGGGGAGGAATCGCAGGGAGAGGTAGGAAGGCTCCCAGTCCCCAGTGGTGTTAAGTGGGGTTTGCTTCTCACCCCAGGAGGCTTTGTGTAGCCTTTTCTTTGGGGTGCATACTTTGCCCCACACGTTGGTAGTCACCCAGGGCTCTGGCCACTGGAGATGATCTAGGCAAGATGTGCCAGAAGAAGTCAACTTCACTGGGAGACCCTCCAGCTCTGGGTTGTACCCGATGTCTTTCTTGAACTCATTGAGCTGGGAATTTTGTTCTTAATGCAGGTCCTTGGTGTGAATGGCCTGGTGGTCAAGGCCAGGGTCTCACCAGTCAGAAGAGAGGGCTGTAGGACAGAGGCATCACTAGGGGGAGAAGGCTTCCAGGGAAAGGAGAGGTGAAATGATTAGCAGATGATGCATCAGCAGTATTTTACCTCTTTGGAGAGTTCACTCTGGATCTAGGAGTCAAGCAGCAGGAAAAGGGCTGAGCTGCTACCACCCATCTTGCCATGCTTTTCCTCCCCCCCTAATAATGCAGGCTGTAGCCAGAATTAGACTCTTCAAGTACATGATTCTGCTTTCCAAACAGGCTAGCTGGGAGTTCCAGTGTATCCTTCTTCACCCTCCAGCTCAGATTTAATTGTTAATTTTAATTCAACTGTTTCTATTCCTGACAGCATTGTACATTGTCTAGGAAGACCTTGAGTTCTGTATTGCTTGGAGAATTCATGAAGAGCATGTCTATAATTGGAAGGAACATTCTATTTGGAAAAACACTAATATTTGGATGAAGGAAGAGTAATCTCAAAGGGTAGTCTTACTAAGAGATCTGTGAGGGGGCAGCTAAGTGATGCAGTGGATGGAGCACCGGCCCTGGTGTCAGGAGGATCCGAGTTCAAATCTGGCCTCAGACCAAACACTTGACACTAGCTGTGTGACCCTGGGCAAGTCACTTAACCCTAATTGCCTATAAAAAAAAAAAGATCTGTGAATATGAAACATAACCTTAATTTCTCATTCATCTGCTTCTATCCATGGGGTGGGCAGTGCAAAGATGGGGGCACTATTTGGAGGCCCAGTAATACCAGTCACAACTTGATGTTATGCAAAGAGGGTTTTTTAAAGATCTGGTTTTGCCCTCCCCAATGCCCTAAGGGACAATGGCGCCTGTTTGTAACAAAAGGAAAGAGAAGTGGATATGCAGCCTAGAGATCTGGAGTAGGGTACTGTTTATGGGACCATAGATCTATAGTCCAGCTTGCTCATTTTATAAATGGGGAAACTGAGGCCAAAGAAGTTCAAGTACCTTTGCCCAAAGCCTCAAAGGTAACATATGACATAGGTGTGATTTAAACATAGGTCCTCTGGTTTCAGAGCTGAGCATCTTTTCCAGGTGATCCCCTGCCACCCTCAACGAAGTTACAAAAAGTGGATAACTAGAACCTATGTGAAGACCTCATTGAATGGTGCAGACAGGAACAACATGCCATACTTGCTGAGTGTCCACAGAAAAGTGGTCTGGCTCGGGTTAGGGATTGATGAAAGATACTGTTGAACAGGTAGGAAGGACCCACATTATAGAAGGCCTTCAAAGCTAGATCGAGGAGTTTAGACTTTAGTCAATGAGCCTAGGGATGGTTATTTATTAAGGATCATAGAACAGTCCAACCCTCACATTTTTACTCATTTTGTAGATGAAACCTGTTTAGGGCCACTCTTAAGAATATGGGTGTAAGATCCAGGATAGAGTTTGACCTTTGCCTAGGCTTTAACCCAAAGGGCTCAATAATTAAGAAGTAGGGCTTTCCAAATCTCTCCCTAATAGGAGGTTCCTGAGACATTCCTTCTCACCCTTTGAACCTTAGATTTACTATATTCACTCCTCTATACAGGCACCAGGAAAAAGCCTTGGAATTTACAACCCTATCTAGGAACTCTGATAAGGAGGAAATGTATGTTATCACATCCTTAGCAGACATTTCTGGGAGTGCCTCACGGGGAGGACTCTGAAGTTAAGATGGATTTTTCTCTGTATATCCTGTACCCTCAGATGAATAAACTGAGTCAGTCCTTACTACTCCACCTGGCCCACGTCTGACATCTATTTCGCGCCTTTCCATTCGATGTACTATCTGGTTGCCTGCAACAGAAACCAAAAGACATTAAACGACTTGCCCTGGGTTGCAGTTTTTGTTGTTTTTGAGTCAGTGGGGTTAAGTGACTTGCCCAGGGTCACACAGTAAGTGTCTGAGGATGGACTTGAACTCAGAAATTTGATCTTGGGTCCTCCCGACTGGAGGGCTAGTATTCTATCCACTGCACCACCTAGCTATCCCTTCAGGTATTCCTTTCAACTGAGAATTCAAACCCAAGGTGCTTACCAAATTCCTGAACGTGACCATCTCAGAGTGTAAGGGACCTGAGAGGTCATCACTTAGATTTGGATTTCCTTTGCACAGAGCATCCCTTGATGACACTGGTGATCACCAATTCCCAGTTTTATGCCTCACTTCGTGAAATTTGTTAATTTCATCTGCCACATTCTGTAATTTGATTTTGGAATTCTGTCGCTTTGTGTTGTGAATTCTTCCAAAATAAAATTTTTTCCAGTTAGCAAAATGGGAGATATTTCAGGGAGGTGGGTACTTGGGACGACTCTGATGATGTAAAAAGCTGAAGATGTCAGTAAAAATATTTTTCAAAATGCTGTGTGACCACAAGGGTAAAGCAAGCTGAGAAAAATCACAGCAAGTGAGTAGTGGCTGCTTGAGTTAGGATTTGAAGAGTGGGTAAAATTGGGATATTCTAAGGGATTAGAGAATCACTCAATAGCCAGATTAATGACAGAGATTCATTATGCAGATTTGTCCCAAATCCTCAGTGCAATACTTAGAAGTACTAGACTTCAGAATGGGAGATAGAGGGGGGTGGGTGTACAGGAGGAGAGTGGAGAGGGAGAGAAAAGGTAGGGAAAGAAAGGGGATGGAGAGATGAAGGGGAGAGAGGAGAGGAGAGGGAGATAAGATGAAGAGGGGAAAGAAAGGGTGAGGAGAAAAGACGAGAAAGAGAAAGAGGGGACAGCTAGGTGGCACAGTGGATAGAACACTGGCTCTGAAGTCAGGAGGACCTGAGTTCAAATCCGGCCTCAGACCAAACACTTGATACTTCCTAGCTGTGTGACCCTGGGCAAGTCATTTAACCCCATTGCCTCAAAAAAAGAAAAGAGAGAGACAGAGACAGAGAGAAAGGGGGGGAGAAAAAGGAGGAGAGACGGACGCAGAGAGACAGAGACAGACACATAGGGACGGAGGAGAGACAGACCTGCAGCAGGAGCACGAACTTAGGGACAGAAGGATAGCCCCTCAGGGGAAAGCAGAGAGAGAAGAGAAAGGATTCCTCAAAGCCCATTCCTACCCTGAGACAGTGTCCCTGCTGGTCCACTCCTCCTCCCTGCCTCTGGACAACCAGCCTCAGGACTTGGGCCAACACTCACGTCCAGGAAGTCCCCAAGAGGCTGGTTTCACTTTAGCTGCCGCTGCCCGCTAATTCTGGGGTGCGCCCACTCGTCCTCCTCCGGCTCTTGCCCGGAGATCTGGTGGTCCCTTCCTGACCATGGAGACCCTCAAGAACAGGGTAGTGAGCAAATGGGACAAGGTGAATTGGTGGGAGCCTTTACACTAGAGACCTTGGAGCAAAGCGCCAATGATTATTGAATTGTTGGCCATATTGTAGAGTAGATTCTTGTTCAGGGATGGGCGGGAGCAGATGGTTATGATGTCCCTTCAAACTCTGCATGCAACTCAGATACTGTGCTTGGTCTCCTAGACCCTCACTAGGGCCAACAGAATAAGGTAGAAAGTAGAGGGGCATGGTTAGCAGCAAAGCCCAACAAATAATTATCGCTGTCCAGAGTGTAATTGGCTACCTTGGTAGATGGTAAGTGTTCCCTTACTTGAAGTCTTTAGGTCAAGGG